GAGCAAGAAGCTACTAGGGGCTCCTGGCATCGATACTAGGAGCATCCCGAGCATTCTTACTACTAGTAACAAGAGGTCAGTTCGATGAGGTCAGTTCGATGTACCAAGGACAGGCATGTTGGCTGGCGAATGCGCCGCTGATGCTGCACTGGGCCTTGCAGAGGGGCCTGAGGTGCCACTGTTATGCCACTGCTCCGAGTAGCGTCCATGCTCCTAGTAGTATGGCCAGGAGCCCCTAGTAGCGTTCTTGTTCCTAGTAGCGATGCCCTTTGCTTCTAGCAGCTTGTTGTTCCTAAAGGTAGATTTTGCTTTGAGAATTTTGCTTTGAAACGGTGAAGAGAAACCATTCACGACTTAGTATTTGGCTTTTGAACCATGTTTTTGTCTATTTTGGGTCTCACCGCCTGGAACTTTCGATCTTTGCTTTTAAAGAACCCTACAGTCACAAAGGCAGTTGCATTGCACCCGCCTTCATATGCGGCTTTTTCAGCTGAATTCACCTGTTTGCTTCAGGTGACAAAGTATGAGGAGGCTGTTCGCAGCTCCTGGGTATGGGAAGAGCTCTCGCGAGTGCGGAACTTCAAACCCGCATCTTGTCTGGAGCACCTTCAGATGAACAGGGTTCTATTTGCCGAGAGTCAGAGTGGTGTTGAAATAGATACTGAAACATGTTTAACTTTTTTGCAGCGTAATTAGGGAAGGATGCTTCAGTTTGGTGGTCACGGACACGGAGTAAACAGAGTTAGCGGTAAGTTTCCCTAAAAATCAGGGAACCAAATCATTAGTGCGAGCGCTTCTTTCAAGGAAGCTTCTGCGCCCATTCTCACTAGTAACAAGAAGCTACTAGGAGCAAAGGGCATCGCTACTAGGAGCAAGGACGCTACTGGGGGCTCCTGGCATCGCTACTAGGAGCATTCCTACTACTAGTAACAAGAAGCTAGTCGAGTTTGAGTTTTGCATCGGAAGTCGAAACGAGGCCTGGCACCTTGGGATGATCCCAGGCCTCAGCTATGGTGGCTTTTCATTGATGCTTAGTCGTGGCAAGGAGCCAACATGGCAGTTCTTCTCAAAAGAAGAAAACGAGAGGAAACAGGGAAGGTAAAGCTCCTGCTAAGGAAAGGTAAGGCTTCTTCAAAGAGATCTTTTTTTTCTTCTTTCTTTACTCATGACTCATCACATTCAACAAATCAATTTTCTGACCTTTCATTTACTGTCTTTTGTTTTTTTTATTTTTTTTCTGTCGCCCTTTGATTTCCTTTTGTTTCTTTTGTCCGTTCGTTCTTGCAGGCAGCTCTCTGCACATTAAACTTGTCCAGCTTTCTTTGACAGAAAACAGTAAATTCTGCAAGCAGAGTGTCCACTTCACGGCCATGTACACTGAGTCAATTGCGAACTTCTAGCGTTGCAGGCCATCGCTATTGGGTTGGAGGCCATTGCTAGTAGGTTGGAGGCCATTAAAGGGCAGGCAAAACTCTCCAAGTTCCGAAGAGAAGAACATTTGATTGAGACGTTAATCAGGCCTGGGGCAAGGATATCTTCTTGAGTCTTGAGAAACTTTGAGAAACCAACCACACTTTTGTCTACCCGTTTTGCTGAATCACCGGCATGACGTCTTCTGTTTGTTCGCTTGGACTTTGCAGGAGCCGTGGACATTTCGCTGGTCCAAAAAGGACTGCGACCAGATTTAATAGACTTTGAAGCAGACAGAGCATCCCAACATTGCTGAGCTTTGTGAGTGCATTCTGTCGGGAATATGCATGCAATCCGAGGCGAATACACAAAGCCCGCCAAGGCAACTAAGTTTCAGCAAGAGAGTGCACACAAGCATTCATGGGGATGAAAGCCTTTACTTAGCCCCTCAGCATGCTCAACCAATCCAGGAATGCCAGAAGATCGAATACCCCAAGCCTGACGGCGTTTATTCCTTTGACCTTCTGGAGAACCTGGCCAGAAGTCTCCGGGCTCAAAAGGGTCGGAGTGGGTCTCCTCATGGACCTCATGGATTGCATCGGGACACTGAAAATAGAATAATAGCGGCCTCCAACCTACTTGCCCCCTTGCTCAAATGTCTGCTCATCCCGAAGGTGGAGTAAACCACGAGCACGACCAGCCAGCCCATTTGAAGGTCAAGGAGGAGTCTCAGTGACATGGTGAAGAGGTGAGATTGTGTTTAGATCTCACGGTCAGTAGTTTAGTGCATCGCTACTAGAAACAAGTGCCTTACTAGTAGTAACAAGGACGCTACTAGTAACAAGTGCATCGCTACTAGTAACAAGTCTACGGAATTCGAAGAATGCTGAGCAGACAAGTGAGACCCATCACTAGAAATGACAAATATGTGGTTCTGTCATGCACTCATCTCTCAAGTTTCTATTGGGCCATGTCAAGTGCATTGTTGCGAAACTCTAAACCAAGAACTTCTCGGTTTCAATTGCCTCACCTAGGCATGTGCCCTTGGAAGTGTCCCTGCCAACCTTTGATGGGCCAGAGGGTCGCTTTTGTCCTGCCAAAGTTTACGAGTTTCTGAGCGCAAAAAGCGACACATCGAAAAGCGACGCGTGATCATCGACACATCGATGTGCAGATTGCATCATTTCCTGCAACTTTATGCAAGGTATGTTCCAGATGAGGATGCTGCGGATGGCAGCATGAAGCTGCAGATAAATGCGCAAAACTGTGTTCATTGCAAGTGCTGCTCGATTAAGACACCACAGGACAGCAGATCTCTTGTTCCAGCCGTCGGTTCGTAGATGCACCACTACATCCTAATTTGGTGTGCTCAACGTCGAAGTCGTGTCAGCTGGATGCTGTTACTAGTAGCGTGGCACCTGTTACTACTAGTAAGGCACCTGTTACTACTAGCGTGGCACCTGTTACTACTAGATGCTTGAAATTTCTTGCAAAGCAACGTTATCCTCCAAAACGACATTCTCAGCTGCAAGAGCCTTTTGGAAGCAAGAAACAGAATGCAGTCTTTTGTATCCGCCAGGAATACATCAATTGGACTGTGCCTGAGGGAGGCGGTGGCCCGCAATACCCAGCCATGTGAGCATCCAGCCCAAAGCCAGCTGGATATTTACTGTAGAATCTGTAGAACGTTTTAGAACGATCCCGTCAACGCATCACAGCTCGATGCGAAATTCTTTAGATTGGAGGCCATCGCTCTTAGGGTGGAGGCCATCACTACTAGGTTGGAGGCCATCGCTATCGTCTCAATTGTGGTCGTTTGGACCTGAGGAAACGAGAACCGAGCCTCTTGTGGACCCACAAGAGGAGCTGTGGCGATCTGCCCCGCCTCGAGAGCCTTTCGGAAAATCTGGGGCCACACCTTCGCTGGAAGGAATGCTGCATTCCTCTTCACAAACTTTTGTTTCCATAACAGCACAGGAGTCTTTTTTCTTTCTTTGTTGATAAAGACAATCAGAATGATTCTAACCTTTTCTTCCCTCAGCCTCTTTCTATCTTCTTGTTTTTCTTTACTTCTTCTTCGTTCCTCTCATTCCGCTCGTTTGCTGTCCTCGACTTTTGGACTTGCTCTCAGGTGAGTTGTACTTGAGCCTCCCGGGCGGTCTTGGCATTCTGGTGGACAAAGAACGTGAGGCTAGCCCTGTAGGTGTCCACTGAGTGTCCCATTGGTTTTCAAAACGTCATTCGAGATACACCTCTTAGGATCTCTTGGGGGTTCAGATCGGGCCCTTGAAGACCCCTTCCGCTAGTGCTGAAGGCTGAAGTGGGAGCACTTGCTTTACCCCTGTGACTGCATTCTGTTTTGAAGTGTTCGAGAATTAGCCAAACATCGATATGGACGGATCCCTTCTTATTTCTGTTAATTTTCAGCAGGACAGCGTTTCTTGAGGCTCAAGTTTGAACTTGAACTTAGACTAGCTACTAGTTTGTACTCCTGTTTCAGTGCCTGCACTGCAGGCCTACAAGCAGGGCATTAAGCATCGAACAAGGGTGCCCATTGCCGTCGGGGGAGAGAGAGAGAGAGAGAGTGAGGGAGGGAGGGAGGGAGGGAGGGAGGGAGGGACATAGAGAGAGAGGGGGCTTCTGTTAGAAGCAGGAATGACTTTTGCATGTTCGCATAAAGCAGCTTCCTCATCGTTAGTTTGCTGGTTGGCGAGTGCATTGTGGAAATTGCATATCCGTGCCACGCCTTTCTAGCCGTGCCACGCCTTTCAGTCTTCTACACTTTGAGATGGCGGAAGGGCAATGGGGGCTGCAAGAGCTTGGCTGCGTGCCAGGATGCAAACTTGCTTCAACTAGAGAGGAGCTATCCTTCAAGCTTCAGATGGGCTGGCATGTCTTGGGCAAATATGAGGATTATGGTTTCTTCTTGAGGCATTGTAGTCAATGCTTGAAGCTTCACTTTCATTGCCAAGTTAGCGAAGCACACATGTTTTAAGAAGGATCAATGGACCAGATTTGTTTATCATTTCGCAATCAGGTTGGCTGTATGAAAGGCCCCAATGCCTGGACTATGTCCATCATCAGGTGCTGGCAGATGTCAAATGAACGAAGAGTTGTGACAGGAGATTCGTGGAAACTTGTGGCGCTTGGTGTCCAGGGAACTTGTGGCGCTTGCTACATGTTTGCAGCCCTTGACTCTCTCTCTGATCGGCACTGCATCGATACGACGAATGTCGGAATCCCAGGGAAGAAGCAACTAGGGGCTCCTAGTAACAAGTGCCACGCTACTAGTAACAGGTGCCACGCTACTAGTAACAAGAAGCTATTAGTAACAAAGGGCATCGCTACTAGGGGCTCCTGGCATCGCTACTAGGAGCAAGGGCGCTACTAGGGGCTCCTGGCCGTACTACTAGGAACAATGTTTGCTACTAGGAGCAAGAAGCTACTAGGAACCAAATGAACAGTGCGAGCACTGCTTCAAGGAAGGGCGGCGGGGGGAGCTTCCTCGAAGAAGCGTGAGGCGTCCAGTAGGAAGTGGCTTACTAGCTGCTAGTAGCTACCTCTAGCTAACCCACCTGCCTCTTCTACCGGCCCCCAACCTGCCCCGGCTAAAGAAAAGCAAAGCTGTCGCCCTTCTTGAGTTGCTTCGTCCGCCTAAGGCCTCACAGTTGGGGAAGGTCGAACATTTGTCGGTTCAGATGGCCTTGCTTTGTGAACCTCTAGGCGCTTTACGGTGTTTGTTTGGCCGTGAACTCATCGTTGACGTCGCGAGTGTCTGTATGGTCGTTCTTCCTTGTCTTGTTTGAACTCCTTTGATTTCGATTTCTTTTTTGCAGCATCTTGCTCAACATCTCGCTTGACAAGGCAGACAATGCTCTGGTGGGTGGGCAGATGTAGGCTTCAACTACTCTGTGTGAGCCCAACAGCTTGCAATGAGGTGTTCATACTTCTTCGGCTCAATCCTCTGAACGGACTCAAAGAATGCCGGAAGCTTTTGAATGAAGACGCCTAGTAGATGAGTCTGTTTGATGTCTGAAAGGGAGTTCAACAGGTATTGAAGTGTTCCGTAATAGCCATTGCCATTAGGTTGGAGGCCATCGCTGTTATAGGTACTTTGGCCTTCAACCGTCGTCTGTTTGGCCCTATGAACGCAGCTGCCTCTCCGACTCCGAGTGCCAATTTGGAAAGCAATGCCGGGTTGGCTCAGATGTGCGGACATGTGCGCCAGGAGCCCCTAGTAGCTTCTTTTTCCCAGTAGCGATGCCAGGAGCCCCTAGTAGCATCCTTGCTGCATCAATGAAAGGAAAAAGGGTCTGAGGTCTTGCCACAAAACTCTATGTTAACAGAAAGAGGCAGGGATTCAGGAAATGCAGGTCATGTAGAATTGAGGTTTCCAAAGGCCCAAGGACAAAGCATTCAGTCTCACAAAGGAACAAGCGCCTTACTAGTAGTAACAAGAAGCTATTAGAAACAAGAAGCTACTAGTAACAAGTGCATCGCTACTAGTAACAAGTGCCTTACT